GTGGGGGGATGGGTTAGCCTGGTGATGGGTATTAAAGAGGGCACATTCTGCATGGAGCACTGGGTGTTATGCACAAACAATGAATCATGGAACACTATATGAAAAACTAATGATGTAATGTATGGTGATTAACATAACAATAAAAAATTAAAAAAAAAAGAAACTTACTCATTTTTCAAGCAGAAGTTGCTTTGTGGGTGTTTACAAACAATGCATTTTCCACACTGGGGAGTAAAGAGTGGAATGACTTTGTCACCTGGAGGATATAAAACACATTCTTCTTAAATTCCTACCCAGGAATTCATAGAGCAAGAACTGGAAGCTTATGTGTGTTAGAGGTGTGTGTCTTTGAAAAATCTCCAAGAGATAGAATTTATTCACCACCATGTCACTGGTCCTTGCCTGCCAGCACCGTTAATGGTTTGGGTTTGTATGTGCCTGAAGATTCCCAAAGAGGAAATACAAATATCGGAACAACGTGAATTTAAAAGACTGTTGCTCCTGTATCAATAGTTCTCTTTCGTTGTGTGCCTTTTCTCTTGGGGGTTTTATACATATCATCTCATAAATCCTTGACAATTAAACCTTAAATATTCTCACTGTAACTGTAAATATAAATGTTAGCTGTGATTAGGCTGCCATCGTTCCACCAGATGCCTGGGGATCCGGTAGTTTGTAATAGTATGGGACAAAGTAAAAATGAGTATTGGCTTTTCAAAGTGACTGTGCTTTTAGGGTTTTCATTTTGTTTTGTTTTTTAAGGGAAAACTAACAAAAATGGGACAAAGAAGAATTCAAGAAATCCCTCTGTCAACCTCAACAATGAGTTAGGCACTCTCTTTGAGGGTAAAAACTGACTTTCAGATGTTTGTAGCAGGCAACTTAATTGGTAAATTATTTTTTCTGCTTTGGTAGAAGGAAAAGTAAGTGTAAGTGTGTCATTTATTATTAATTTATTTCTAACTAAAGGAAATATTAAGAGCTGAAACTCAAACCAGACGATTTATTTTATTATTTTCTGTTCACAGGCCAATTAAGTATATGGTAAGGGAGAGGCCACATTTACTGGTAAAGTTCTTCCCACCTAAGAGGAGACCATGTTGATTTAATCATAGCCTCATGGCTTCCATCCTGTGAAATCAGCACGGAACAGTTTCCATACACTGATTTGGAGGCTCAGGACATAGACTTAATTTTTCTTATTTTATATCATTTATAGTTCTCTTTGGACCTGACAGAAGACAGTACTCAGCAACACTAAGATGGAAATTATTTGTTTATGAACTCTAACTTTGGCAGGCACTGCATTTCTTTCGATCCTTATGTGTCCCTGGGATCTAACCTGGTGCCTGACATCAATAGGCACTTGCTAAAGGAGAAAATTTATGAGTGCATGAATACACACATGTCTGAGTCAGGCAGGGAGGGAAGAAAGGAGGAGATCTATGTTCTAGTCCCAGCTCTGCCATGACCTTCTGCAAGGTCTTTCCAGGCTGGATGATCTTGGGGTCCTGAACTGAGGTACATTCCCTAAGTGTGAATTCTGTACCTGGTTTTACTGTAGTCACCCCTTCGCCAATGCTTTCCACAATGCCGGCTGCCTCATGGCCCAAGATCATAGGGAGAGGTGTGATGAGCCTTCCACTAACCACGTGATCATCGGAGCCACAGATTCCTGAGGCCACCATCTATAGGGTAAAGGGAGGATGATTAGATTTAGAAAAGATTAGGACCCTTTCCTTTTCCTCATCAAACAATTTGGAATAGTCTGTGAAATAATTGTTTCTGAAATATTTAAGTCTTATTTAATATACAAGAATGTATCCATTTTTATAGAAGTAGAAATTGCAGATTAGCACTAGGAAAATTGTCACTTAAGTTCTACCATCTGATGCTAATTGGTTTTGAAATCTTGATGTATATCCCTTTGCACTTTTTATCCTGTACAAACACATAAGTTCTTTTTTTATTTTATTAGGATTATACTGTATATACCCTTTGATTCCTTTCTAAAAATTTGACGATTTATATTTATATCTTTCTTTGACAATAAATGTAATTCCACTGTTTGGATCACCGTATAAAAAGTTCCTCTTAATGGATTTTTCCTTATTTCCATTTTTACCATTTTCTGAATTTTTTAAACCTAAAACCAAATAGAAATGGAAAAATGTTTCACCTTAATACGAACTTCATGGGCCTTAGGGGGTGCAACCTCCACCTTCTCAATGGAAAAGGGTTTCTTTATCTCCCACAGCACAGCTGCTTTGCATTTGATTACCTGGAAATTGAATAGAAAGATGAAACCAGTTTGTCCCCACTTTTAAAGTCAGGGAGAGTGACTTTCATTTTTTTATGTGCAACATCTAGCCCCATGTCTGGAACCTAACAAGGGTTCCATAGAAATGAAGAACCTCCGATTTACAAAGAGAATAAAAATACCTTTTAAACAACTGACAAAGCAATAACATAAGGAAAGAGAAACAGAATTAACTATAATGAAACATTGAGACAAAAGGGAATACATTCTTTTAGACCATCTTAATGTTGGTTTTTCTTCTCCAAGGGTTGTTTCTTCCTGATATTTCTTAATGTGGTCCCTAAATCGATTGTTTACCCACAACTGTTGGCTAGTGCTTGAAGTTCTAAATCAACATAATTTTGCTGACAGGTATAGTGCTGTTCACGTAAAATCTATTGCCCTCTTGCTCAGTTCTCTGCTGAAGCCCAAACAATCTAACTTTATGATTTCATCTGCACATTTGACTCCCTGCCTAGGATGCCTTCTCTTTCTCTATTTGCCTGTTCTCTTCCTTCGACTTTGTTTTCCCTACTGCTTGTGTGTGCTACTTGTTTGCATCACTCATTTGACAGTTAGCTTTGGTAGTGCTGTTTTCATCAAATTTATGTGTAGATATTCCTTCCAGATTAGATTTGCAACAAAAATCGCCGAGATTACAGCTTTATGCACCCACTCACACATACCCCCCCACACACATATATTTAAAAATGAGAGATTGGTGTGCTGGAATTTCTAGCTAGCACAGCTTACCCATGAAGGTTCTGAAAAATAAAAAGTTGAAAACATGTTTTTAGTGCTTGGGAATATAATATAAAACCTGTCTTCTTTGTTGCAAAGCTTATACAGTTAAGGGAGTTTTTCCTAGAAAGAATTGGCATAATTGCAAATATGATAAAAAAAATCTTCAATAGAAATTTATCCTTTTGGCAATTCATTCTCATCAAATCCTCCCACTTTGCAAGGTTTTTGCTATGGTCAATGCCACAAAATGTGAAAGTTCTTGGAAATAATACACCAATGGTAGATAGATCCTAACTATAGGGTTCTGTTCTGGGCGAGTTACATGCTTGATCTTTAAACCTCACAATGATGGTACCCAGGCAATATTATTGAATTTTTGGTCTTATTTTACAGATAAAAAGATTGAGGCTCAATTGACTCAGTAATAAATTGAGTAATTTTCCCAAAGTCACAAAGCTGGCTGTCCAGAGAATTAAGATCAATCCAACTTAAAAAAAAAAAATCACCCAACTTTATTTTTTTACTACCCCATGGGTAGTGAAAGATTAACAAAGGTTAAATAATAATAACAGCAACAATAATAATAGCAGTGACTAACATTTATTCAATTATTTCTATGTACTAGGCACTATTCTAAGTGCTTTACAGTATTAATTTATTAAATTCTCACAGCCACCTTATAAAATAGGTATCATTATTGTCTCTTAGCATTGAGGAGAATATAATACAGGAAGGGTAAACAAAAATGGTGTTGTCACAAGGCTAAAAGTGATTGATGTGGCATCCGAAGGGGGAGGATTGTGTTCATTTAGTTTACACTTTTGCTCTCTGACCCTTCTTTTAAGCTGAGTTTTGGCATATTTAATTTTCCTTTTTCCTAACTCTTCTTCATTTGAAATGTAATGCCATCGTAAAGACTAACCAGTAATGAGTGAAAATAAAGAGAGTTGCAATGAGAAAACCGACGGTCGGCGACCTGTGTGATTTCCCGCCGATCTTACTGATACAGGAGTGTTGTGTCACAGTGAGTGTAGAAACCTCAGAATCTTTAAGTTATCATAGCAAGATAGTATATTGTGTGATCCACTCCTAACGTAACACATGTACTGGAAGCAGTTGCACAGGCTTTTGTAATTGAGCAAACAACATGAATTGCTTATGTTGAAAGACCACATGCGTTTTTCTGTCCCTGCGAGCACATTGAACAAATAAACATGAATCCATGGAAGACTTAGAATCCATTATCTGTGCTCCCAGTGCTAATAAGTGATTTAAACCGTATCACTGTTATTATTTTTTTGTAAAAAAAAAATGGAAAAGATATTCTTCCATAGAATTTCTATGGAAATTTCCTGGATTATGCCACAATAGGACCCTTTTAATTCAGAATTTGCATGTTGTTGTTGGCTTGCCTCACCTTGATGACTCTAATGCTTTGAAATCAGTATGCCTTTTTTAAGAGATTTCATAGTAAGCTTCAAAGGATAAAGCCCTCTGAATCAAATTCCTCTCATAGAACTTTTGTCAGATCTAACTTCCCTGTGTTCCTAAAAAGAATATGATTACAAAAAATAACACATTTAAATTATGGTTTCTTAATATAAAGATAACTTTTTGATTAAAAACATAGAATTTTAGGTTTGCAAATTATTCATGATTGGCCATAGCTCCTGCACATTAATATAGGAAGTAAAGACTTTATTAGATACAGATGCTATTCATTCTTGATAAAGATATTTAGGAATAGCTTTTTTTTTAAGAAATAGAAATTAAATTTAAAGATCACCCAATTCAACAGAAAAAAAAACTCCATTGGTTTTTACATGAAGCTTTGCCTAAACCAATTATTAAGACAATTTGAAAATTATTTTTTCCTTTTAATTGAACATACAGAGAGACAATGCATAAACAGATGTTTTGCATTATTTCATGAAGGCACTTTTGGTTTCTTGCATAACCTCCACAAGTTACAGCAAATGTTATAGGAAACATTAAATTGCCATTGCATAACCTTTAAAATTAAATTCAGACAGGAAACTCAGCTGTATGAAGAGAGAAATTTTTTTAGAAAAAGTGTTGTGAAACTCATCAACTATAAATGTATTATAATTTATACTTCAAAATAATTTATAAGAAATATGTCCCAGTGTTGTCACAGTCTATAAAACACTCGTAACAGAGGAATAGCCTATTTTCATTGTAATTTAGTAGAATTGCATATTGAAGCACATAGTGTACTTTGTATTTCAGTGTATATTGTTTCTAATATATATGTAAATTTTAAATTATTCATTAATAGTATATCTCTTTGTGTATTTTATAATAATATATTTCCCCAAAAGTAAAAAAGCTTTTTTTGCTTACTTTCCTGCTGTGCTCATGATTCCGTTTTATCTTCAGGTCAGGAGACTGGTGAGTTCTTACAGACTCTTTGCTGCTTGAGTACACAAAGTTGATATATTACACAATTGTTTGAGTTGGATGGATTTAGTAATGGATTGAGTTAACAATCCATTACACACACGTGATCTCGGGTCTTTAAACCACATCCCTCAGCTTATTCTCCAGCGAAGTCAAATCAGAAAGAAAGGGTCACTGAGCCAGCGTTCAAACCTTGACTTTGCAATATGCCAATTTCAGTTAATATCTGGATTTCATCAGGTTAAATATTTCCCTACACAGAACATTTTAATCTCCCTCTTTTTCCTGGATTCTGTATTTCTTATCTCTCAGCCCCACACAGGGTGTTCAGAGTTCTGTTTTCCCATTGTGTGCACTCATCTCCAACTTCTAATCCACACACTGCATTTAGAGAAGAGAAGTAAGGAAGCAGCACAAATGATGTAGGACAGAGAGTGCTTCGAGCCAGAGGAACATATTTGATTTAGCATTCTTTTCACAGCAGAGAAGTCACTGCAATGCAGACAGCTGTCAGTCTCAGCAGAGGTGCTCACCATCTCTGGCATTTCTGCTCCGTGCAATAGAAATCAGCACTGACTGCACACCTCCCCATTCCAGGCACCCAGCTGGGCACAGTGGGGTGGCAATGATGGATAAGAGGTGGCCTCTGTCTGTGCCAACAGGGAGTTTGGGGTGGTGGTTATGGCATGGCAGACCCCATCGTTGGATTCAGGCAGACCCTATCCTTACCAGCTGTGTGCACTTAACTGTCTTTGGCTTTAGTTTTCTTATCTATAAAATAAGGATGACTAAGCTCCTCAAGGAGTTGTCTGAGGAAAACTGAGATCATCCTTTTAAAGCGCTTAACAGGGAGCCTGAAATAGGACAACCTTTGATGAATATTAGCTACTCGCTAAGGTTTCAGTGCTGACAACCTTACCACTTCCTTTTTATTCTCCAAGCACTCTAGCGACTGCATGTTCTTAATGTTCTGTGTGTCGTCAACATGACTTTTGTGCTCTTTCAGCTTTCCAACAATTGCGCAGTTTTCTGTATTAAATCCACTTTGTTTGAAATACAGTTTTCTATTTCCTTAACTGGAAACATATAGTTCTTGTCGCCAAGAGTGGTCCTGGAAGCATATTCTCGAGTAAACAAAAGTATTTACACAGACTGAGTTGATGTCTTCGTAATGGTCACAGTTTGCTGACATAGAAAGCACTGGAATGAGTATGTTTAAGGAGGTTGAGAAGGAAAATATCTGTAATCATCAACAGAGGAGAAGTCAATAGATGACTAACAGGGCCCAGATGCTCTTTTCTATTATAGATTGAATGTAGGCCTGATCTGCAATGTTTTGCACACCATCCGTGTGCCTTCCCCTCCTGTAGTTTTCCGGAGCACTTGCAAGGTGTTCAAAATATAGTAGCTTTTGAATCCTTATATGATAAAGTCACTGAAAATGTTATGCTCTGCCACATACACCTATTTGCACAAGGCTATGAAATTTGTTTTAGAATTCTCACTTATTTTGTATTCTATGAGTCCTAGAATCTAACCAACTCTTTTGTCTCCATCATTTTTCTGGTTTTTGATTTTTCATTTTCATTTTTACCAAAATTATACATGCCTATACGTATGCAAATTTTTTTTTTTTTACAAAGCCTCTTAAGAGAAGCAGCAGCATTGACTTTCCTAATTCTTCCTACATTTACTCTTCCCTAGAAGCCACTGCTTTAGACTTTTGAAACTTATTATTTTGTTTTTTATTTCCACATCTCTAAGTAGCATGCCTACATTCCTAACTTGGTTTTTCTTTGGGCATTTCTATTAACTTCCCATTTTGGAGGATGAAAATTTGAGGCGGTCATTACCACAAAAATACTCTACTTCTCTTCTGCTTCCCGAAGGAGTAACAATAATTTATATTATTAGGACAATGTAAATGCTGCTTACAGGTGAGCTGTGTAGTTTGCAATTTTTTTCCTTTTACCTAAACAATCCTGTTTTTCCCTAGGGCTAAATACTGGGTTTTTATTTTTTTTAATTTTTTAAAAATATTTTATTTATTTATTTGACAGAGAGAGCACATAAGCAGGGGGAGTGGTAGGCAGAGGGAGAAGCAGACTCCATGCTGAGCAGGGAGCCTGACTGGGGACTCAATCCCAGAACTCCGGGATCATGACCTGAGCTGAAGGCAGCCACTCAACCGACTGAGCCACCCAGGCGCCCCAAACATTGGGTTTTTAAAAAACTACCTTGGTTTTGTCTTTATACTTACAACCAATTCAGTGCCCATAGCGTCTCCAGTGGTCTAATTCTCCACTTAAGACAAATAGGTGCATCAAGTATCCCACCAATTTTGTCGTGTAGACAAATCCTGCCTGGAGTCTTCTACTTGCTCCAGAACGGCCTGGGTGTGCTCTGTCTCTGGGGCAACCTGCTGTATTGGATTCCTGGGGCTGCTATAACAAATGATCACAAACTGAGGGCTTAACACAATGGAGGTTTATTTTCCCCCAGTTCTGGAGGCCCAAGATCTGAAGTCAGTATCACTGGGCTGAGATCAAGCGTCAGCAGAGGTTCCAAGAGAGAATCCATTCCATGCTTTTTCCAGTTTCTGGTGGCTGCCGCATTCCCTGGCTTGTGGCCACACACTCCAACCCTTTCCTTCCCTGCTCCTTCCTTTCTCCTCCGTCACATTGGCTTTGGGAGCTGGTAGCATGTTCTGTTTATCCCCAGTAGCCTGCAATTTTACAATGATCTGTTCTGGGTGGGTGTATTTTTATCCGTTTTACTGGCATGCTGTGGCTTTTAAAAAAAATGAGGATTAACTTCTCAGTCCTAGCAAATTTACTTAAACTGTTTCATTAATACTATCTCTTCCTTCTGTCCCCCTCCTGCCCTGCCTTGTCCATTCTTTCATTCGTTCTGGAACTCCTCCAATATTGAATGTGTTGATACACTACTGTCATTTTCTCTCCCTGGCCCCTTTTACCTTTTTTCCATCTCTTTGTTTGTGCTCCCCCCAGTTTCAAACCTCCTCTTAAAATGAAGGCACAGGTGGCATAGGCAGGGTTTGCAGAGTATGCACAGTCCTCCTAGGGGTTGGGGGTACCTGCCAGCCTGGCACTGGCTCTTCATCTGCAGTTCCAGGGCTGGGGCGAGAGGTGCACTGGAATCCAAGCCTGGGGTGATGAGCAGCAGGGAACTGGCTCAGAGCACCCTGAGGCCTCCTGGCAATGAAAAATTTGATTTCTAAGATTAAGAACTTCTACTTTGGGTAGGTTGCCGCCAAATTGTCACCTGTGAATTTACGCATCTTATATTCACGGAAACAGGAGCCCTGATTTTTTTTTTTGCTTACCATGCCTGTTGGTCTCCAGAGAAACTGTGAATAATATTTCTATGATGACTGATAAGTTCATGGTCTAGCTCAGACCTGTGCTACAGCTTGAACATGATAGCTCAATAATAACACATCTCAGTTTGCCAGAGACATTGCCTGTTGTCCCAGCATGATTATTAATAGCTTGCCCCTTGCTTTCAAAAGTGTGCTGGTTCAGATGGTTAATTATGGGATCGCCCTACTTACCCTTGCATGTGAGCCAGAACAGAGGTTCGTGGATATCCTGGGTGGGACCCGGATTTAGTCAGCTACAAAAAGCTTCCTTGGAAGAAAGCAAACTTTAGAGTTTCCAAGAGTTAGCCCTTGTTAATTGCTTACCCAGTAGTTCTGGTAGTTGTGAACTATTTCAGTGATACTGTGACAATTAACTGTAAAGAGTAGTACAGGATATCCCTTAGCTAACCTTTACTACTTTGTGAATAATATAAGCTGGTCTAGGATTAGAAAGAGCAAAGGCTAATGTGATTTTTAAAATTTGACAGGCTCGTAAGAAAATTACTCTCAGAAGCTGAATTAGAATGAATCAAAGTCTATATTCAATAACTACCTAATATTTAAATATTTAATTTTGTTAGGAAATGATTATTATAAAACTTTAATTAACTAGTCACTGAAAGATCTGAAAGTGGTAACCGTATTGAAGTTTTATTTGTATAAAACTTGCAATAACCTGGAAATAGGCCACTGCATAAGAACAAATAGAATTACTGGAATGAGAAAGTGAAAAGTGCAATAGTTATACTGTAGCTTTAATCAAATTGGTATTTGTAGAAATTAATGGTCATAAAGGTGGACTTGGGTGTTTTTTTCTTTTCTCTCTTTTTTTTTTTCCTGACTTACAATCCAGAAGACATTCTGTGTGCTGCTAGCATAAACAACAAAGACAGAACTTGTTTATTGGTCTAATCTGCATGCTAAGTGGAAATTAAAAAAAATCCTGGTTTGCACAGCTGTGTGAAAGATTGTCCAGATAAGCTCTTTAAGGCATTTACCATATCAACAAATATAAGAAATTTTCTTTTCAATGAAGGCAAATCAGAAAAAAAGCAAGATCATTCTTATGTAAGCCTGCTGGTTTACTACTTAACTGGAAATCCAGGAATTGCGGTAATCTTTGCCAACTCTAGTTGTCTTAAGGTAGGTCACTGTAGTTTCAAAACAGAATTAATGTTTGTTTAATGTTAAAAGTAAGTATCTTCGTGGTATGCCTTGTCTGGAATCTAAGTTGCAGGGAGGGGAAGGGAAGAATGCTAAAAAACAACTTTAGGAATAAGTATTTCTCCTGAGTCTAAATTCAGCCCTTGGAAAAGTAGAATCTAAAAGAAAGGCTGGAGTGCAGTATATTCCTTTATCTATAAAAGAGAGTTCAAAGGCACCACCTTCCGCGTCCTGCCCTGCTTAAATAAAAATAGCAGGAAGGATTTAGAGGAGTTCATGAGCTATTTATATGACACATAGTGCCTTCTCCTCCTACAGGGACATTCCAAAGATTATAACTTAAGCAGTAGGTGATTTTCAGGTCTGAGGGTTCTGGGCCCTTTTGAGCAGTTTTTACTTACCTATTTTAAAATTAACTTTATTGATGTCAAAAAAATGCATCCATTCTAAGTGTATACTCAATGAGTCTACCAATTAATAGACCTCTAAA